GTAGAGGTCACCTGCAGACACTTCCAGAACGTGGCAAACTTCCTGGGTCTCTCCTGAGGTATTCTTAGCTGGGGAAGTGAGCGTGGGGCAGGCTGGAAGTGGAGAGCTAACCTCCAGGGCAACCCTCGGCCAAGGAGGCACCAGTGTTACTGGATACATACTCCAGGTTTGGGAGGTCCCTCAGTGGGACAATTCCCAATTTCCACGCATGTTCCAGTCTCAGAAACTGACTCCAGTAGAATGAAACCTAAGTCACCCATGGGGAAAACCTACTTGTATCTGTATAATTTATTTGCTTTCCTACCTTCCTCGTCTCAGGCACTTCCTCACCCCGCTTCTTGGGATCACCTCCTAAATAATTTGCACCCAAATCTTTGTCTGAAGGTCTGCTTTTGGGGGAGCCCAAACTAAGAGAGTCTAAAGTGGTGTTAAGCGCTTTTTCACATCCACTCTTGTTCAATTTTCTTAACATGCCCTGAAGTAGGTATCATTCACCCAATTTTACAAATGAGGAATAAAGAGGACAAAGCTGGGGCAGGATTCAAACCAGGTCCGCCTGTCCCCCAAACCCAGTCCTTAGCCACTTGCTCTGATCTTCTCCGGGCCTTATTTTTTCGTCTGTAAAATGAGATATGAGCTTGAGTTTGAAGGGAGGCAATGCAGCCAGTTTCTCCTGCAGCTAGGCATGGTCAACGAGATGTAAGCCGAAGTCATTAGGAAAGAAAGTGATTTACAGGGACCGACTCAGCTGGGATGTCCGTTCTTTTTGCCCTCCCCTTTCTCTTCCTGGAATGTATACATGAAGGCCAGAGCTCCAGCTGCCACCTAGGGCCAAGGAGACAACAATGAAGTGTTCTAAAGCACAGTGTTAGGGAGTAGGTGTTCAGAAGCTAAGATGAATAAGACCTAGAGACCCTGCCCTAAAGGAGCTCATCATTTAGTGGGAGTGGCTAGATGTGGACAAAAGAACCATAAGCGAAAAAGAGATCTGAGTGAGGAGAGAACTGCAAAGTGCAGTGAGAGCTCAGGGAGGGAGAAATTCCACCTGGAGAGGGTGAAGCAGGGGAAGTGTCACTGAAGGGGCTATTTCTAAATAATGGGGAGGATTTAACATAATGAGATGGAGGAGTGAGGCGGTGGGACCCAGTCAAAGGTAAGAATCTGAACAAAGGGGTGGAGGTGGCTTAGTGGAGCTGGGGAGGGAACCGGATGCTCAGTTCAGGAGAGGGGTTTGTCAAGGGAAGTTATGGCAGGTAACATGCGTGGGGCTTAAACGCCAAGCTAAGGAGCTTGGTTTCTCCTGCAGCTGAGGGGAGAGTGCTCAGAGCTGTGTTGTAAGATTGATTACTCTGGCTGCAAAGTGAAAGACAGAAGAGTGAGAGGCAGGGAGATCTCTGTGAAAATACTTAGTGTCCTGATGGATCTGAACTATGTGGGGCTTGTGAGAAAGGAAACAGGAAGAGACAGATGGGGGAGGAGAGACCCAGAGAGAGAGATTCAGAGGCTGACAGAGAGTCTGCGCACAAACTCAAAATTTAATTAGCTTCCCGGCTTGCCAGGGGATTACAGGGGCATTAACAGACCTTAGAGTCTAGGGACCTTGCTGGGAGTTGAGGGGAAGTTAATGAGAAAGACAACAATATGCCCCAGGGAGAAATGAAAGCAGCAGCATGTTAGCCACGCAGAGATGCCGGCAGGAAAAACAGATGTCAGGGTGCTGAGTCTCCACCTGGTGCTGAGATTTCAGCCCTCTAGGGGAAGGGACATTTAGAGCTCCTGGGCAGGCTACTGGCTTGATTGATTGGCAGGGTTCCAGTTCCTCCGAGTACTTGGTAAAGGACTCTAGAGGGGAAAAGTAGAGAATGGCTTCAAGGATCAAGGTCCCAACTCTCCCCCTTGGTCCTTTTTCCCAGAGAGGAACTGAACCCCCAGGATCCTTCTGCAGATGGGGAGGTTGAGGCCAGGGATGGGGATGTGACTTGCTCATGACCAGATGTGGCAAATTGCATTTTCCAAAGACAGCTGGGACAGTATCTCCCAATGCACATGCTCTTCTTACAGTGACCTTGCCACTCCCCTCCAAGAGGAGGACTTCGGTTCAGTCATAAAAGATGATATTGCTTCTGCCCGACTCTCTTGAAACTCTCACATTTGGAACCCAGCCATCATACTTGAAAAATGCCAGGCCACATAGAAAGGCCACGTGGAGATGTTGTGGTCCCCGTCAGGGCCAGCTACCTAATTTGCAAGGTCCAGGGCAAAATGAAAATGCAGGGCCTCTTATTCAAAAATTAAGAATTTAAATGGTGACAACAGAGCATTAGACCAAACAGAGCGCTTCTGAGTGTGGGGCCTTATGCAGCTGCACAAGTTACACCCCATGAAGCTAGCCCTGACCCCAGCTGAGGTTCCAGCATCAGCTGCTCGAAATATGAGAAAGCCTTCAAAAGGACTCCAGGCCCAGCCACTGATGGCAACTGTGTGAGGGACCTTGAACGAGAACCACCTAGATGAACCCAGTGACCTCCTGACCCGCAAGGGATAGAAATGATTGTTGTGTTAAACCAGCAACTTTTGGGTTACTGTAGCCACAGATAGTTGGAACACTGGGGGAACCAGAACTGCTCAAAACTGGGGTGAGGATGCAGGACAGTCAAGTTTCTCCCCAAACGCAGGCTCATTCCCTGAGCGATTGTTGCAAGTTCTCCTTGACCTGTGGTGGCAGAGGAGATAAGATACCTCAAGGTGGTCAGATGACCAAAATTCTGTACATTTGGCCATGGAATGCTGTATGTCAACACCATGATAGGCACATCCTTGGGGGCAAACATCAGATTTTCAATTGGAGGCTGGGAAAGACCCACTCTTGCATGAGCTAAAACAGTGGTGGCAGGCCCAAGCAGGAGACAGTGGTGAGNGGGCGGCGAGGGCTCGGGCCGCTCCTCCGGGTCCCGAGGCGGCGGCGGAGGGGCGCTGGGACCCTGGGGTGGGCGCGGGGCAGCGAGGCGCTGGGAGGCTCGAGGGAAAGAGGACAGCTAGAGAGCTAGCGGAGCAGACCGGCGGGAGGAGAGGTAGGGGAGAGGCGGGAAGGGGAGAGCGGGGAGGAGAAGCGAGAGGGAGGGGCGCGCCGCGGAGGGGAGCCGAGCGGCGGGGCCTAGGGGCTCACTGCACCGAGGAGGCCGGCCCCGCGCAGGCTGCGCGGAGCGCTGGGCCTTTCCTCATCCGTGACCTCCCTGGAGCTGCAGCCCTCTGGGTCTAGCGCACAGGCATCATTAATCCAAGTTAGCAGTTGGGGAAACTGAGGCCCAAAAGGGAAAACTGAGGCCTGAGGCAGAGGCCAAACTGGGGGTGGCCCAGGGCCTCCGGCCTGGTTTGAGGAGAGGGGACTGGGGCAGGACAGATATCGGACTAGCCTCTGGGCTGCAAGGACAGCGGAAGGTGAGATTTGGGCTGGGGCAGATGTCCAGGCTGAGTGGCATTGGGGGAGGGCGTTTGAGGGACGAGGAGGATAAATGGGTCAACGTCGCCAGTAAAAGAAGGGCTTAAAGTGACCTAATTTTTCTTCCTCACCTCCACATCTGAAAACGCCCACAGTTGTTGAGGAAGGAAAGAGGAAGACAAAGCTTCTGGATGTCAGAGGGTCCATCTCTCAGCTCCGCGGGGAGAGGGGGAGAGGGAAGGGGAGTCCGTGAGGCAGAACTGAGTTCTAGTTGGAAAGGCTGCTTTACCACGCCTGGGGAAGGGGGAGGGTTGAGTAGGGCAGCGGGAGGGCTCGAAGGGCCTGCTTGCTGAGGGACACTGACAGCCTGCCTAGCTGGGACCAGGGTGACAGGACCCAGCAGGCCAGCCAGGCTGGGAACAGCTGTCCTCGCACCTCAGCACTCACCAGAGGCTGATGTGATGACCATCCTGGGCTTTGATCCCACCGTGGGGGGTTGAACTCCCTTCCGCAGGGCTGCTGTTCTCTCATGACTGCTGTGGAGGTGACCCCCCTGCCTGGCACTCAGCAGCCTGAGTGAATAGCTTTTGAAGAGCCCTGCTCTGAGGTGCCAGTTGTTGGTGTCCTCCACCTGCCCTGGCGGACTCAGGCAGGCCAGAGACCTGGGCTCCAGTCCTGGCTCAGGCACAGACCCTCTTGTGTGGTTCCTGAGAAGCCTGGTGCCCCATGAAACCCTCTGCCCTCTGCAGCTTTCCTTCTGTTACCCCCAAAATTTACATGATCCCAGTTAATTTAACCCAAACTGAGGTGTTGGTAATGATATTGGCTCAGTAAGTTTTCTTCAGGGTGTTAGGTGAATGATGAGTGAATGAATGTGTGCCTTAAAGGAATGAACAGAGGCATTTCAGGCTGGGCATGGGACATTTTAGGGCATAGGGTGAAACACCGTCCAGACCTGTCAGATCACGACTGTCTCACCAGCTTGAAAAGGCCTACGGGGAGGACATGACGGAGGGTGAAGGTGGGAAGAGCCACACAGGGATGTTGTAGGAGGTTCTGGGGAGGCAGGAAGCCAACCTTAGCAGCCACAACCTTTCTTAGGGCATAGATCCTCTTCTGGACCAGGAGAGCAGGGCTGCCATCTTGAAGGTGCCTTCTGAAGGTGTGATTCCAATGGTGGTGGGAAGGGAGGAAAGAAGGCAGGACTCTGCAGGCAGGACCATTAAATCCCAGCGGGGGGCTGGCCCAGGCTGAAAACCGTTTGACATGCTTCCCTGGGTCCACTGAAAGTTCTCAGTGGCTCAGGCAGATGACAGAGGGTTTGCTTCAGTGGGCTGGGACTGAGTGGAGGCAACTGGGAAAGAGGATACCCTGAGCTGATGGGTGTGTAGGGCAGGCTGGGGTGCTGGACGTGGGGCGGGCCAGGATGGAAATGAGGAGGTGTTAGCACAGGGTTCAGAAAAAAGAGCCCCAGGCAAAGTTGGAGTTCCTGTCCCCTCCCACTTAGCTGTGCAGCTCACACAAGAGGACTTTTTTTCACGTCAC